ACGGCTTGAGACAAGTCTTGTGAATGAAATCGGGTAGGTGGAACCCTTGGTGGGCGGTCGTCCATAGTTGTGCTAGCAAGAAGTCACAAGTCATCGTGGCCGAGGGCTTGAACGTGCTGGCCTTGTTCAGATTGTTGACCACGCTAGATAGCACGCTCTCTCCCAGAAATTATAACTAAGGTCTGCTCAGCATAGTTGCAGTATAAACCACAGGTGGGCTCTGTGGGTGTTGAACAAACACAAATGCGCCTGAGCAAGCGTCTGCAATTGGAATTTGTTAGCCACTATAGTAGATAGGTATCCTTGAATACGAGTGGCTAGCTATACATACATACTTACATATATATATATATATATATATATATATATATATATATATATATATATATATATATATATATATATATCACAAAAAATGCATACGAATACATACATATAATAGCTACTGATATTTAATTTTTAATTTCAACTTCATAAATATTGCAATGGGTCGTAAAAAACATGTAACATAAAAAAACATATTAACTTGAGTAATAAAATCAAACAAAATGTCTAAAGATGGGAAAAGCAAACCCACGCATGAGAACACAAAGATAGATATTAACATGTTAACATGTGAAAATGAGAGAGAGAGAGAGAGAGAGAGAGAGAGAGATAGAGAGAAAGAGAGAGAGAGAGAGAGAGAAAGAGAAAGAGATAGAGGAGTGAGTGAGTGGTGGAGGAGGATAGAGAAAGAGAGTGGAAAGGGGGGAGTTTAAGAGAGAAGAAAATATGGGTGGTAGGTTTAGGTATGGTGAGCAGAAATGAATAGACAGTCCTAAGCAAACAGATCTATTCACTTGTCATTAAATTATTAAAAAAAAACCCTGAAAAGATAAAAATTAAAGAAAAAAATGCGCAGTTATTTGTAAAGGTCATACTATAAAAGGGCAAATTTTTTTCTCCCCTCCAAAAACATTGATCTTTTATTCCATGACATTTCACAAGATAATTGAATTCTTTTTGGCGTGTGTTTTGACGACACTCTCTTTCTTATCATTGGAGAGTTTTCTTATCAACGTTTTTGCGTGTTCCCAGTAATTCGGAGCGACGTTTATTTATTTTCGTATATACTTACTTATCCCTAAACTTATTCTTTACCTATTATATTGGCATATATCTTTTGAGTTCTGTGTTCTTTTCAACAATTTTATTTCTCACTTGGAATTCTATTTGTACGTTTCAGATTTAATTCTTCTATGTAAAAACTCTGTTATATAGGTAAAAAAATGAATTACACAAACTCATACAAACACACGTACACGCGCACAGACACATATACATTACAAACACAAACACGAATGTGTGTGTGTGTGCGTGTCGTCGTCGATATGGGTTAAAGAGAAGAACGGAGTGGGTCGCTTAGTCTTGATTGGCAACTAGACTAGGATGTGGACAGCCCTGAATTCAAGCTGTCTCAATGTATGACAGGTCTGCAAAGGGCCATATAGTTTGATGTTGATCAATTCCTGGCTATTTCTTTTACTGAGTGCAACCTTAATCACTCAAATTGAGAAACATACTTCGAAGGATACTAGGTATACTATGGGCCGAACATGTGAGCAACGACGAAAAATGGTAATAAAATGAAACTTATACTTAACATGAAGAAGAGACAGTTGCAATTACGGGGGTACATAATCAGGTAAGAGATCTTAGAAAAATTATACTCACAGGAGAGACTGAAGGAAAGAGGGACAGAGGAAAACAAGTATCTAGCGAGCTTGAGAAAAAGGATGGCTTTAGGAGAGATGATAAAAAGATAAAAGTTTATCAAGAACTACAAGGGACAGGGAATTTTGCAGAGCCATAATTGCCTATGTTGTGAAGGAACAGGACACATAGAAGAAGAAGAAGAATGATGATGGAAATAATAATAATAATAATAATTATTATTATTATTATTTGAATTTAGCGCCTGGTTCTGCATAAGGTGGTCGTAAAGCACAATGCCTCTTCCAATCTCATCAAATACACAGTATCATTTTCATCAAACGCCGATTGGATATTGGAGTGGCTATCGTGGCCTCACTTCGTTTTCCGCTAAACATATATAACGATATTACGAAGTCTTGACGAAAAGTTCATCGCCCGACCAACTTGCTGAAATATATATATATATATATATATATATATATATATATATATATATATATTATTTTACTTGACCTCCTCACCCCCAACACTGAGTCAGGTTGAGACACAAGGTCGGTTTTTAACACAAGGACTCGAGTGTTTTGGTCCAAGCTGGTCTTAGCTGGTCGTAGCTTGTCCAAGTTGGTCAGAGCTGGCCATAGCTGGTCCAGACACGAGCCGGTCCAAGCTAGTCGTAGCCATGATCGAATCTTAACCAAAAGGCCGAGAATCGACTGTATTTTCTTGCTGCCCCGCGCTGGCAGGTGATATATGGTCAGTTTAATGTTAGAATCCCGAGCGAAAGGCCGAGTTGCGAAGGCGACCACAATAAAAGCGTAATCTTTCAGACGCACAGTATAGAACGACGAAAACCGAGTAAGCAATCGCCAAAAATCCAATTATCTTAAATAAACTAACATCATTTGCTGAATTAT